AATCCGATGTTGTTGTATGAAGTAGCCAAATCGGGATGATTCGGAGATAGAGCTTTTTCTCTTATTTTAAGTGATTTGTCGTAAAATTCAAGTGCTTTCAAGTAGTTACCCATGTTGTCATATACAAGACCGATGTTGTTGTAGGAAGTAGCCAATGAGGGATGATTCGGAGACGGAGCTTTTTCTCTTATTTGAAGTGATTTTTCGTAAAATTCAAGTGCTTTCGAGTAGTCACCCATATTGTCGTACACTAGTCCGATGTTGTTGTATGAAGCAGCCAAATCGGGATGATTCGGAGACAGAGCTTTTTCTCTTATTTGAAGTGATTTTTCGTAAAATTCAAGTGCTTTCGAGTAGTCACCCATGTCGGAATAGACTCCAGCCTTGTTGTTGTAGGAAGTAGCCAATAAGGGATGATTGGAAGACGGAGCGTTTTCGATGATTTGAAGTGATTTTTCGTAAAAGTCAAGTGCTTTCGAGAAGTCACCCATGTTGGAATACACTCCAGCGATGTTGTTGTAGGAAGTAGCCAAATCGGGATGATTCGGAGACAGAGCTTTTTCTCTTATTTGAAGTGATTTTTCGTGAAATTCAAGTGCTTTCGAGTAGTTGCCCATGTTGTCATACACTGCCGCGATGTTGTTGTAGGAAGTAGCCAATAAGGGATGATTGGGAGACGGAGCTTTTTCGATGATTTCAAGTGATTTTTCGCAAAATTCAAGTGCTGTCGAGAAGTCACCCATGTTGTAATACACTGCAGCGATGTTGTTGGAGGACGTAGCCAATGAGGGGTGATTCATAGACGGAGCTTTTTCTCTTATTTGAAGTGATTTTTCGTAAAATTTAAGTGCTTGCTTGTATTCTCCTTTTGCATTTTTGATAAGTCCAAGCTGATTATAACAGTATCCTTTGTTACTGTCATCGTGGGCTTGTTTCAATAACATCATGTAAACTTCCTCACCCTTGCCATAGTGTCCCATTTTGTATAGCAAGTAACCCATTTTTTCCCACCCAGTTCCGTTTATCTCCCCTCGTATGCTCTGTGTAATTTCGCTGAGCTTCAGGTCGTTACTTTCACTGATTAGTGTAATGTTGACTTGCCATATCATCATTTCATTCTCTTTTACTTCTTCTATTTGTTGGACTCGAAATACCGTGTGTGTTGAAAACAGAACTTCTTTTTCGTCAGGAGAGTGGCTGAATTGAGCGATAGGGGCATATGGAGCTGATTGTATCGATGGATCAATTGTCATGATAAAGAGGACACCAATTTTGGTGTTGTGGGATTTGAGTTTTTCGCTAATGAAGCGAAGGGCAACACTTTTTTCTTCAGTGGTTGATAAGAAATTATTGTAAGACATGAGTTTGTCTTTTTGAATTTTAGTTGCAAAATCTTCTTGTGTCATAGTTTGACCGCGATAGACTATACTTGGAAATGGTGCATTCTTATCTTTCAATTGTTTATCGTGGAGTTGCTGAATATTTTGATGAAGATCGCGCATGAAAAATCCTATTTTAAGCAAGGTGTTAACGTCCAGTTTACCCAATGCTTTGTTGAGCATTTTGTATGTGAAACACTCTGCAGTATACCATCGAATAGGATTGTTGTCAATGTTAGCGCGATACTCTAGGAGGAATTTGGTGATGATTTCTAGTTGGTCTTTATTGTTAGCATACGCCTCTTGCTGACGAGCATAATTGGCAAGATCTGGAATACCTATTTTTTCGTCGAAGTTAATTTCAAGTACGATTTCTTTGAAAAGTGTTGTATACATAAATGATGATTCTATTTCACCAGTAATTCCAACAGCATCATCGTCGTATCCTCGAGCTGCTTGTCGAACCGAGGTGCAAATGGAGTCAATATTCGTGAAAACACCTCTTACTTTGGGCCACTCTTTCGTTGCCCATTGTTCGTACTTCAATCGTTCGCGACAAAATATATAGATTGCATAAATTTGAGGCATGACGTGAGTACGTGGTACGACATTCTTCGTAAGAGCCCCAGATACAATGAGGAAAGCTTTTTCATTTTTGAAACTTGAAATATATTTAAGACATTCATCAGCATCACGAAATGTCTCAATAGTATCGACAGTCAGGCGCAATCGCTTAATTGAATTGCGAAAATCTTCGTTTGACTCATCCAAGTTGCCATCAAGCCAAAGTAGAAGATAATCTTGCACAAGATCTTGTGCTTGCGCACGTTGTTGGCCTTTTTGTTCGTTCGTGACGGAGTCTTGAGAACGTTGAGGATGTGTGGGTGAGTTTATTTCGGCAGGATTAGGAATAGGGGAATTTTCTTCGTTCGTGACGGAGTCTTGAGAAAGTTGAGGATGTGCGGGTGAGTTTATTTCGGCAGGAATAGGAATAGGGGAATTGGCAGAACTTACTGTTTTGATTGATGTGCTGCAGCCCATTTTGTA